TTTTGCATTAACACTGAATGTGGGATAACCAGTTACACACGAGCAAGTCGGTTTTAAGTAAAATGCATCAGTGGTATTCATTACTTGTGGTATAATCAGCATTTTTAAAATCTATTCAGGATTTATGTTTTCTTGTTATTTATTCATTTTTCTTTTTTATTCTCTTTTCTCCTGTAATAAGTGTCATCGCTGCTGTGACATCTAGCTTTCCCCACTGAGGAACAATAAAGGGATTTCCTATTCTATTCATCTATCTGCAGCCTTTCCACTTCCTGTTTTACTGTAGGTTAAATATTTTCTCACAGGCAAACAACAAAATAAAAATATCATTTTATCTTAAATGAAAGTGCAACATCTCACCTGTTAACTTTCATGTTTTGGAGCAGAAAAAGAGCATAAAACCAAATATTTAAAGCTCAGTTTGCTCCACTGGTTTACTGTGATGCTCACCTGTTCCAGCCAGACACCTGCATCATGGGGTTAAGGAGCTCTGAGCAGAGGAGACTCTTGTTGTCTTGTTGTTGTCTTGTTGTTCATCTTCATCATAATAATGACAACAGGTGCTCACATAGGTTTGTGCTGATGAACATGTCTGAGCAACTTGACCACGTTATTGTGTGTCGGGGAGGAAAAATAAAAACTACAGCAGCCACAGAGTCATGTTGATTTCAGCGTGTTGCTGCTCGCTGGAGTTATATCAGCTCTGTCTGGAAGTTAGTTGGAAAACTTTCTCTTTCAGTCGTGAACACATTACTGAGCGGTTAAAATCTCCATTTCTGGGCTTCAACGTCGGCAAATAGCTGAGTAAACTTGGCGCTGAGTGAGAGGAGTGTTTAGTTTGTCCGAAAGAGCGAGCTGCAGACACCGGCAGCAGACACTGGAAAAAACACAAAGGAGGGGGCGCTTCGGCTCCGCGCTACTGCTGCAAAGCATCATGAGAGTTGCAGTCTTTGCGGTAAAATTGGCTAGCGGGTCAGTTTTAATATATTTTTGATATTTATCTCACGGGTCACAAAAAAAAATACTCCGTGGGCCTTGTGTCTGACACATGTGGTTTAGATCGAGCCAGACAGGAAGTTTAACACAAAAGAAGTGTAAAAAATAAAAAGAAAGTACATCATTACCTGTGAAACTTCCGTAGCCGAGTTAAACATAACAGAAAATAACCCACAGACATTTTTGGATGTGTGTAAACTACCAAAATCACATCTAGCAATTCTCCTACAATTTTGTGATCTAATTGAACCTGGTGCATGGAAAAGTTTCACTGCCAATTTGCATCTGAAACGCTCCTGGTGGGAAGAGAGCTCAGTGGTAAAACACATCTATGTTACACAACATGCACTTCTGGTGAAAAGGCTGGGTTTATGACTTTTCATTGTTTTTGTCTTGGTAAGGTCGGCAAAGGGTTAAATGTTTTTTTTTAATAATTAAAATAGACTGTTGAAATCACAGTCAAAGATGTAATCATGGCAAACTGTGTCCACACACACACACACACATCCCACACACACACCCCATCTACATCGTGGCTCTGGTAGACAAGCCGTCTCTCTCATCGGGGAAAATGGTGATAGACGGTTTCTCGTTCAACAGTTGGGTTGAACTGTATTGACTTTATCCTCTCTGTGTGCAGACTTAAATCACTGCATATGGGAATCGGACATATGTAGGCCATAGATGGCTAAAAACTCTGCAAGAGTAATACAAAGACCGATCGATAATCCCCGCTAAACCATAATCCCATTAACAGCAACAATGATGGGCAGCAAATGTTTCTCTTCAAGACTTGATTGTTTTCTTTCCTTTTGATCCTCGGAAAGCTCTCAAGAAGAAACTTCAGAGTGACCACATATGTGCTCTGTTTCATCCCACCCCTATACTCATGATTCTGTCTATGGTAAACCAGTAAACAGCCTGTGAGGGAAGTATGGTATATTTTGTGTTTACAGCCCTGTTTGTTGCCCAAACAGCTTGTTCTAATTACTACACTCAGACCTAGGTGAGCAAGACTCGCTATTGCACTGGTTTGGATGGGGGGGGGGGGGGGGGGGGGGGACCACATGCTTTTCATTAGATAAGACGAGCAGCAGCAGCTATCCTGTGTAATTTCTGTTTTTGCGTCAGGATAAATAAGGGAGAAATCATAGTTTTGGACTCTATTTGTAGCTAATCCTCTTTTCAGACGGCTGAAAGGATGTAACAAATCTCGAGCAAACGCAGTCTTTATTCGGGGTTTTTAATTTGTAGCTGAGGCCATTTAAAGAGGCACATGTTCCCTCAGAAACTAAGACATCTGTTGTCTGTGAGAAGGGAGCATCGGGGAGGAGGAGAGCAGGGATGGAGGCGTCTCTACAGTCCCGTCCATACCAGCAGTGGCTGCGATGCTAAGTAATTGGTAAGAGGCCTGTGCGTGAGGAAGTGAAAGAGTGGCGTCTGGGTGGCAAGCCAGAAAGGAAGGAAGACAGGCCACTTCATTCCCACAGGATGGAGGGGGGGGGAAGAGAAAAGAGCAACGAAAATGCACAGAAGAACGGGAGTAATGGCCAATACCCCCCCCCCCCCCCCCTCCTTCCTTCTGTTCTCTCTGTATCCCTTCCAGACCCAGACTCCAGACTAGCTTCATCCTTGTAATTTCGATTAATTTCTTCCACATTTTCCTCAGGGATTAGGCTGCAACTCCCCACCCCCTCCCACTCAAATACACACACACACACATACACACATACACACACACGCTCAGTTCATCCCCCACCACAGATTTTTATTATTCTCCCTGTTTCCCTTTACATCAACCACCAACAATCAGAAAATGATAGTTTTTAATGGCCAAACATCAGTAATTACTCCCGGTGATTAGAACATGACTGTGTAACTTTCAGTTTTACTGAAGATCTGCTGCTGACATCACAGCCCTCTCAGCAGTTATTTAAAACTGCCTCCAGACATATAAGCATTGTTTTGAGCAGGCAGCAACTTTTGACCAAAGTGGTTTGTTATGGAGCAATGGTATTACATTCCCATTCGGGATAAAACCTTTTTCCATTGATGAGTCCATCTTAACCCCTTAAGACCTAGGGTTCCCCAGGTGGGGGACCCTGTGATGTTAGTTCCTTAACAGGCCCAAAACAACCCTCACACTACAGAAGAAATAGTAATAATTAGCATCAAATTAATCAGCAAACCCAGCACTCCAAAGCTATCTAAACTATTTTTACCATTAAATACCATATTTACCATTTTTCGAAGAATAGTCTTCAAAATAGGCCTAGGGCTCAATAATAGAAGCTGGGAAGAACCATTGAATCGGACACAGAGTGTGAAATTGCTATTTGCATACCACAACTGTCTTTTCACAATGAACACATTGTTTAGGAGATGGATTACGTCCCCCACACACGATCAAATTTACACAATTCTCTGACTGGTGTTGATCCCACACCATGGAAATACCCAGTGACGATACTTACTGTAAGTCGTGTGTGTGTGCTAGGTGCCAGTCAAATGCACTGGAAGTGGACATTAAAGTTCCTCGAGACGAGGAGTTGCTAAGGGAAGAGAGACATAGATATGTGGGCAATGAGTCACGTCATCAACTGGATTTTTCTTTGTTTTCAACCGTGTTACCACCACATGTTGGTGTGGAAAAGCCTCATTAAAGCTACTTTGGTGCTCTTCAGTAGAAAATCTCATTTATTGGTTTGGTTTTCTCGTTTATATGAACTGTGCAACAAGTTTGGACATTTTACTGCTTGCAACCTTTTCTGTCACTTTTCAGAAAGCACCAAGTAAGTTCTGATTTCAGAAGTTGTTAACACTTCATAATGAGGGTTTGTACAGCTCACATGCTGTTTTTGAATTCACCATAGAAATAAAGTGGTACATAATCCATTATTTTTTCTTTCTTTTCTTACACAGTTTAGTAAAATCTATTTGTTTACCTTAAATGTTTCAGCTAGTAGCTCTAGCCATCCTCAGAGATTGCCGGTGATGATGGTGGCACTTCCTTTTATCAGCGGCGTCACTTACTTTTATAAGGCGGATAAAAGGAAGTGACGCCACCATCACTCTAGGAGGATGGCTACAGCTACTAGCTGAAACATGTAAAGTAAACAAATAACTTTTACAAAACTGTGTAAGAAAAGAACAAAAAACTAAAGATTATGGACAAAAACACAGTACGAATGCAGAAAAGAATAAAGTGGTACAATAAGGTTTCTATACACTTTTAAAGGGGACATATTAAGATTTTTTGATTAAGGTATAATAGTTCTAGTTGAACCAAACATGTTTATGAAGTTCTTTGCATTAAATCCCTCTCAGAAAAAGTGATTTCAACGGTTTAATTTTTTTATTGTTTTTAATTTTCCTGACTTTTAGGGCTTTAAATCAGTTCTATTCAAATTCAAAAATGTTTTCTGAATCCCAGAGAGACATCAAGTGCTTTTGTTACTCATTGTTCAATCAGTAATCAAAACAGTAATTAATTGTAACAATAATGATCTCATATTAGTTTTTCAAAGAGTGGTTAAAGATGCTGATGGCTGTGGACAGGAAGGATCTTCTGTAGTAGTCTGTGATTTAGTAGGCTGGAAGAAGCTTCCATCTGAAGATGTTCTGTTGTTTCATGATGGTGTTGTGAAGAGGACACTCAGGGTTGTCCATAAGGTTTTTGATTTTATGAAGAATCCTTTGCACCATCATCTCCAGAGGTTTTACGGTGGTCTCCAGAACAGAACCAGTTTTTTTTATCAGGTTTCAAACATTTGAAGGACCTGAGCTTCCTCAAGAAGTACATTTAGATGGCTTCACTGTTGTACCACCAGTCTAGCCTGTTGTCCATGTGGACATTGAGGTATTCATCAACCACCTCTACATCATCTCCCATGATGCAGATTATCGTTTATTTTTTTTAAGGAAATTTACAATCATCTTCTGTGTTTTGTCCACATTTAAGATTAGGTGACTGTTCCCACACAATGGCACAAATGATCCACCTGCTCTCTGAACTCAGTTTTTTATTTTTTTATTTATTTGTTTTTTTACCATTTCTGATCAACCCCACGACTGCAGAGTCAAGAAAACGAGACACAATTTGCAAACTCTCCCTTTTGTGATGTCACAAAAGGGAGAGTTTTTGAAACACCTTGTTCTAGTCACACAATTCACACAATAAAACACTTCATTCCTACAACTAAACCCTGACAGAAAACGGATGGACATGCGTTTTCAAGTTTGAAGCATTTTTAAAAGGAGTAGAGACCCAAAATGCACCAAAATGAAGCAAAAGGTTGCAAAATAATTACCTTTTTAAAAGCTGCTTATTTTCTTGTAAAAAGGAAAACAATGAAACTGCTGAGGGATGTTTATTTGTTTACCTTAATTATATTCAGATTAAAGCCTCAAATGTGTTAAAAACACCTATGACAACACAACAAAAGGACTTATTGGCTGCACTTTGGTTACAAAATGTGTTAAATATTAATTTGTTTTATTGGTTTGAGCCAGTACAATTGCTGTGATCTTTTTATTTACCCTGTTTATTTCATACCTCTTCATCGCTTGGTATGTTATAGGTATGTTCAAATAAAAACCATTTTCCCCCATTTTATAATGATCTGTCTTTGCAGAACATGGAGCAGCCTACATTTGACTTGTGATTTACTCGTGAGAATCTATCGCCGTCATCTGTCTGACTTGTCGTTTATGGTACGGGATGTTAGGACCATGGTTTAACTCATAAAGTGGTTTTGGTGGTTGGGAACTGCAAGCAAGCGATTAGTCTGACTGCAAATGAGCCTTAATGTACAACAGATTTCAAAGACATTGGTTGAAGGGAAGTGGTTGGATGAATGAAAGAGGGTGAAAGTTACGAGTTAAGTGTCTGGGAACATTTTGGACAACTTTACATCAATTTAACCACAAAAAAGTTCAACGTTTGTATATTTTTGATAAAACTCATCTATAAAAAAGGAAATCACTATTTTCTGAAATCATTTGTCCCCGTTTTTTCAATGGATCTTTGTCATGTGACTTGCCATGACCTACATTAAAAGGTCGTGCAGTCAGAGCTAGCTTGAACCACGACCACAGTTCAGTGAATCAGAAGTTGACAAGTCGCCCTGGGCGTCCTAATGAGATGTAAAGATTACATTAGCATGTCAAACATAATATCTAATTAAACCCGTTTCTGGGATCTACTCTTTAAATGAAAGAGGAGGATGTGAGAGGTACAGAATGAGAATGACGAGTCCACGCTTGTCTCCTTTTCCCAGCTACATTAGGTGTGTCATAAGTGAATTACTCACTCTGCCCCACTGTTAGGAGGGAGGGTTTTTTGACCTGCCACCATGTTGCTAAAGTTTAGGGAAACACATGAGAAGTAGGCAGGTACACTACGGGCTGATTTTGGTGGATTATCCTCCTGAGATCTTCTTTGAACCAGCCCTGGCTTTGCCGAGTCACTCAAAAGAAGATCGCTTCTGCTTACAAAAGACTTGGGTCGGCCAAAACAAAAACGGTGATGGGACCGAGTGACAACATGCATTTAAAGAAAAAAAAAGGAACTGAATGAACAACCTTCAGTCAAATCCTCTTTCACAGGGAAGCGTTGCTTCAACCGTGCTCGGCCGGTCATCAAAGGCACTCTAACAACCTTCACTTATTCCTCCTCTGCTCTCCCACCATCGCTCACACCCCCCACTAATTATCTGCTCTTTCAGACCCATGCATACAACATAACAAGAATAACTGAAGGCAGTTAAAGTCAACCGCTGTGAGCCACTGGGTTCAGGTTGACAGTTCTGGTTAGACAGGTTCTGGAGGGGAGAGGCTCATACTTGTTTTACTGCGAGGCATCTGCTGCAACTGCTGCTGCTGCCTCGTTACCCTGTAGCAAAGTTTTAGGGAAATGCTGGTTTAGCCTACTGGCCTACAAATGTGTATAAATAGAACAAATAAGATATAAATCACTGGATAAACGTGATGCGGTGGCGTCTGGCTCGAAAGCACTAAAGTCACAAACACTGAAGCACAGAAACATACAAGCCACATGAATCAACAAGGACTGGCTGGGCGAGTGATGATTAAGCAACCTTGCACCACATTCAACTCGCTTCTAGTTTCCCTTCACTTATTTGTCCTGTAGACATTAAAGAGCCTCCAAAGGCGTCAAGAAATTGCATAGAAACCACAACAGCAGGAGGAAAGTGCGTTCCTCATCGTGTGAAATTCATAAAAACATTTCAGTTATATACAATGTAGTTTGGTGAAAGCTGAGTAATACTTGAGGGCTTTTAATACACTCAACATCGAGCATTTGCAACCTTTTTATTTTTGTAAAAGCAACATTTGTGGCTGAAATGTCGTCAGAACACCTCAAGCTTCTTCAGTAAGTCATGCTAATAGAAACCAAAGTTTACTACCTGGCTTACTGATAAAAAAAACAAGAGCTTGAAAGGCTTTAAATCACAGCTTATGCAACATTACATCATCTCCATGTTCAGAGAATCTGCAAAAAAACTTTGCCATTGTAATTTGATTTTATGAAGGTAAATTGCATATTTGAGACATTTAATCCCAGGCTGAAATGGAAGCATGTCTACTCCCAAAAAAGAAAGCAAAGCAAATTTTTCTAAATGGAAAAGTCTCCGAAGAAATCTCTGTGGCATGCGTGCAAACTGTTCCTAAGTTCAGACTCAAACAAGCCATTTGCCATTTCTTTGCAGCACATCTCTGTTGCTCACATGATGTCCTTTTGAGGTCTTCACCGAGCCACACAGCCTATTTGTGAAGCTAAGTGAGAGCAAATAATGATGACTACTGTTACCATTAGTTTAGTAGGGGATTTTCTTTGCTGTTTATTATTACGGGATTCTTTCAACACATGACTTAACCATTTTCTGTGAAACAGGCTTGAAAAAAGGAAGCTACAGATAAAACTGTGTGTTTGTATAGCCTAGGCAACATCACACACACACACACACACACACACACACACACACACACACACACACACACACACACACACACACACACACACGCGCGCGCACACTGGATCAGGCTTGAGGCTCTCATTTTATTCAGTTTTCCTAGAACGTTAAAACAAATTGTTTCTTTTCGATTTTCCAAAAAGAAAGGGAAATCATGCCCACTTCCTAGCTTCTACTTGATAAAAAACTAACCCTTTTATAAAAGTTTAAACACACGTCCTGATAAGAAGTAAAACCATACACCAGAATGTCACTATTATTTACACAAGCCCGTTAAATTACCACATAAATAAAATAATCTATATTTACATTCCGGGACAACACAATGAATAAAGTTCTGTTTGGATGTTTTGGATTTAATGTCTAATTAAAGACACTTTAAAAAAAAAGTAGCAATATGTACAAGTACACACATTCACACAACACACGTATACTTTGTATCAGGATTAAAGCACGTTGGAAGGTCGACGTTCGCTTGGAGGTTTTAAATACTAAAATCGGTGGGTGTGTTGACTATAAAGAAGGTGGTGTACTCACTGCCATGTGGAGTAACATGTAACCCGTGTGAACACTGAAGGGGCTTCTATTGCAGCAACTTGAAAGTCCCTGGTTTCTGAGGGGCCGCTGAGCAAAAAGTCGCCGTCCAACATGAGACTCAAATCATTTCCCATAAACAAAGCACAATAACACTGGAGTCATTTTGAAGCGGCTGTACAAAAGCACAAAAAAACAAAAACACAGTGGATTGTCTTTTTTTTTCATACACACAGATTTTTGTTTCCTTTTGCAGGTCCATTGAGACACAGGAAATCAGTGGATTTGCATCCAGACAGAGGAGGAGGGGGAATGCTAAGAGGAATTCACAGCCATGGCAAGTCATCTTGAAATGATGTCCTCTAGGAATAATGGAGGGAAAAAAATCAGAGAATGCACTTTGTTTTTTCCTCATCTTTCCAAAAAAAGCAGAAGTGTTCTGGTTGCAGCATCAGTTCATAGGCAATTTATAAAACTGCATAGTAGTACGCTTGTGCATGTGTGTTAAGCTTTTAAGGAGCAGTCGCCCACGGACTGCCAACGCTTACTGATCTGCAGACAAGTCCACAAGCTCTTAGAAATATAAGTTTACAGTGCGAGCACACATACACACCCACATACAAATTAATCTCTCCAAAAGACAATAACAAATATCTATTTTAAAAAGTCCAAAAAAAAAAGGGGCAGAGAGGGCAAAGGGGTTTAAGGGATTCTAAAATTTATGAGGTTTCTGTCTTTTGAGTTCTCATTTCCTGTGCTTTTCCATTTTGTCGGTAGACTTGCTCCCACTCTCTGAGGATCCCTGGCTGTCGCTGCCAGAGCTCAGGTACATCTTGTCCACTTGTTTGAGGGCCTCATTCAGGTAGTTCTGGAGCGAGGTCATGGCAGCGCAGATGGCCGGAGAGCCAAAGCCGTGTGTGATGAGGCTGAAATGAGTCAGGCAGCCCTGGATTCCTTGCTCCAAAATGGGTGCAGGCCTGGAGTTTCCCAAAGGCGATCGGTCCTGTGTGAGCAGATCAGTGAACTCCTTACAGATTTGCCTGGAAGTAGAAAAACAAAAGGAGAATAAATGCGGTTTACTGTAGCAGAGAGCAAATTCAGTGCACAGCACCAAAGGTAGCCAGGTCAGCTACAATGTAAGAAAGGAAATATTGAATTTATTTAACCAACTTATGTCAACTGGTTTGACTAAACTTAGTTGCCTTTTATGTTGTGCTTGAGAGAAAAAAGCTCAGATGCATCTGTTTCAGCACAGAGAAATAGGCCAGAGGAGAAAGGAGCTTCAGAAGACAGAATTTGGAGTATTTCCTGAAATTTGGACATCTTGCCTTGGACTGTCCAATGACAACAAAAATCATTGATGTTTTATATTCACAAATGACACAAGCCTGGAGGAGTTCTGCTGTGTGGTGGAGTAGCTAATGCTAACGGTTAGCTTCTACTAGTCGAGATGTTCTCTGATGTTTTCTGGACACTGATCCAACAACAGCCTTCCCCATGACGAGCCAATAGGGGTGAGACCAAGTGACAGCTTGACGTAGATCTGTCATGTTTTTTTCAAATCCTAGAGTTTCACCATCTACAGGATTTTCCATCAGAAGCTAATGCAAGAGATAGGTGTAGGACATAATGTTCACATTCAGCCTGTATACTAAAGCCGGGCGTACACTGTGCGACTTTTTCACTCGCAGCGTTCAGCTTCAGCTCAAACTGTACGACTTCCTCGCAGAGCAGATCTCACGAGTCATGTGCTCACACTGCACGACCCAGTTCTCGCATGCGACCTGACTGCTCACACTGTACGTCTGGTAGCAACACGTCGGCCCTAAAAATATGCTAAAAATTGCAGTTTTTACTCAACACGTCAGACTTTTTTGTCTTGTTTTGCCTGTTGTCCTTCGGGAGTGCTGCAGGTGGACACACAGGGATTTATGGGGGTTGGATGAGGAACACGAAATAAAGAAAGTAAATCTGTGTTTTGTGATCAGTTTAATTTGACATGAACACGACAAACACGCTTTCTTGACAATCTTTGTGAGTAAAAAAACGTGTAGAAACAAAAACGAACAGCGTGTGTTATTAGGGAAATAGCGAGCGACCGGCCGGCGTTGATGCAGGATTGCGCGCGCATGCGCCGTGAGCGGTTCTGATACTTTTTGGATCGTAGCTGCTCGCAGCGCCGCTTCAACAGTGCGATACCCTCACGAGGGACGAGCGAAATATTAAACACACCAGAAGTCCCTGCGACCTCACGACTGCTGATCGGCGGCTGGTCACGTGGTGTTAATCGCCTCTCGTAACCCCCTGTACACTACACGACCGCTCGGCGCAAAACTCGCCCCGATGTCGTGGCTTCTCGCACGACTGGAAAATCGGCTCAAAAAAGTGAAAAAGTCGCACAGTGTACGCCCGGCTTAAGAGTGATCAGTTTCAAAAAGTAAAATAATGGTTTATCAGTGAAGGACCTCTTTAAGCTAGACAAACCATAGCAGTAGCAAAAGCTTTTGCTCTGCAGGTTGGTCCATCCACGCTCTACTTTAGCCTCAGCAGGACTACCATTGGTTTGAACACTTTAGGCCAATCACAGCAATCTATGTTTGTTTTAGAGACGTTGGGTGGACTTAGCGCCAGAGCTGCAACAGAGAAATACTACAACAAAGCTTTTGCTTTGGCATCAACTTTGGATTATTTGGATTTGGTCTTTTCTTGGAGACATTAGCAGATTATTTCAACAAAGAATGTATTTGCTTTGTCCTCTTCGCTGGTGAGTTGCCAATGCTAATGGTTGACTTTTCACATTGACTGATTTTTTTTTTCTCTATGAAAATTTCACATTGTTCATTGTTCTGATTGGTCCAGTCTGTGCCCCAGACAAGCTGGTTCTTGGTCAGCTTGCTTCTCTCACCGAACCGTCTGTCAGGAATCTTGGTGTGACCTTTGACCCAACTCACCCTGGATTCTTATGTCAATTATCTTGTTCGCTCGTCCTTCTTCCATCTCAGGAACATTGCTAAGTTTAGCTTTTTTATTTTTTCCTAATTTTTTAAAACAGTTTAGGCATTTTTGTTCTTGTGAAGCTCCTTGTGATTTTTATTTTGAGAGGTGATTTATAAAAGATCATTTTCTTTCTTTCTTTCTTTCTGTCTTGTGCAGACAGTTTAAAAGATAGCTGCAGATTCCGCTCCACGAGTAAAGCTCCATTCATGTGTCGTACATATTTACATATAAAGGAGCTTGCCAGGCTACATACTAGGTTTAGCGCAAGGATAACCATTCCTGGTCCTGGGGGGTCTGCTGTCCAGCATGTTTTAGTGGTTTCACTGCTTACACACCAGGCTTTAGTCAGTGGGTGATTAACACTCTTTTGTAGAGCTTTATAAGCTGCTTAACAGCTACTTCATCCATTGAATCAGGTGAGTTAGAGCAATGAAATGACTAAAACTTGCTGGACATCACCTCTCCAGGACCAGGACTGGTTATCCCTGGTTTAATGGAACCAGCTGACATAATTTAGGTAAATCCAACATTTTATTTCCTACAGTGTAGATGCTGCATTGAGCATTTTGAAAAAAAAAATAGAAGCAATAACTTGCCCCTCCCTAGAACTGTAAGTGTGGAAACCATGCCAATAAGGCAGAAAGAAACTTACTTTGCAGCCAGGAGCATGTTCTTGCGAGTGTTAACCTCGTTGCGCTCCACATGCGGCCTGCCCAGGTATTCAGCTATTGCCTTTGCAGGGAACTCTGTCTCACACACATAACCAAAGTCTCTTGCTAAATGAACAGCTTCACCTGGGACAAATGGAATAAAGCAGATGTTTGAGAAAACCACAGAATCCAAGACATCCTTTGTCTCCAAAAATCTACAGTAAGAAAAAAAAAAGAAAATGTGTTAAATGCCCAAGTAGAATGCATTAGTTATGAGAACATCCTCTTAATATTGCTAACATTAAAATACGAGCAGAAAGTAGTGTTTCCTGCACGGAATTTGAAGTTACCAAGGTAACAGCAGCAGCATCTTTTCTCTGAGATTAGAAATTGTTTATTCTTTACTGGTGTTTCTTCTGCTACAATCTTTCACACTAATTCTACAGATCAGTATTTTTAGAGTGACCAAATAGCAATCAGAGATCAAGATTATTATCTTAGAATTTCCATTTTAGGCCACAAGCAACAAGTCACTATATCTGAAGCTGCAAAACTAAAAGAATAATCATAAATCTTTGTAGCCAGAGGGGAAAATATAGTTAGATGAGTTTATTTCCAGTACAATGTTGGTATAAATTGCACGGTCATCACAAATTTATGTGGATAAATGCTAACCCAGAGCGCCTGAGGGGACCTGCAGCTCCACTTGTTGATAGACATGAACATCACAACAGGATGCTGCTATTCAGAAGATTTAAGGCCAGCTGGTGCTCCTGGCAAGATGAATGCAAAACAAGGCTTAATTCAGCTTTAAAGGTCTGCAAATAAAATAGGCCTCTGGTTATTCTTCTCCACAGAATCATTAGCCCATTTATTTAAAAAAACGAAAAAGAAAAAAGATGGGGACGGTGCATGAGAGGGGAAAATCTACCAAAGCCAGAGGAGGGGAGGTGGGATGAAGGTGATACTGTGATGCTGATAAAAATTAGAATAAGTCACATCGTCTTTTTACCTACGGCTCAAAGCAAAACGTAAATATGGATGACTAAAACTGGGTCTGCAGGACAGAGGTTATTTCAAAGGACAACTAGACAACTAATGCCGTTAGTATTATCAAAAGCAAAACCAATCTCCTCGCTGTTCGTTCGCCTTTTAAACACCTTAACCCAACAGCTGAATCGTCTCCCAGCCGTCCTTAGTGTCTATGAGTGATTCATCACTAAATCAAAGAAATCAGCTGTGTTCATGATTTAAAACACGCAGGAAACGTGCTGAAAGTCCCAACACAGCAGCCCACCAGTCGGAAGTTGCAAGTGCGACAGGGGGCTATAGGGGCTGAGTGGCTTTTCATTACCCCGTAAAGGGTCATTTTAGTGCACACTGCCTCAAGAAAATGATTTCAAATATGAAAAAGTTACACTGTATGGCTTTAAAGTGAAGCTAAAACGGTCATGTTTCAGTGGTTGATCATTTCATAAACAGCTCTTAAAAACATTTTTACGCATAAATATTATGTTACATTATATATTATTATTTGCTTATAATATAATAGAAGACAGATGTGTCAGAAAGTCATCTGGCTATTTTCTTACCAAAACATAACAGTCACAATAAAAGGTATCATATGCACAGCTGCTGCCAAGTGCAGGAGCTTCTGAAAAAAGTAACGTTGACGACTGTCATTTAGAAACTATTTTACGACTGCACCGCACATAAAACACACATTATGCTGATGACAATGACAGTTCCACATTCTCACACATTCCAGCCACTGCAGAAGGCAGTTACACTTAAGAGAGTGCTACTGAGTGAAACATCATACCTTCTACTAGTGAGGTAAGTAGAGTGACGTTGGCTGCCTTCCTCCTTCCCGCAGGCAGGTTAAGACCAATTTTATCTAGCTTTTCTCTCAAAGAACGGCCTCCATTTTTTGACTTGGCCCTGTGGAACGACAAGAAAAATATTTAAAAACAGACTGAGTTCAAGAAAATCTGAAAAAGTCAAACTCAAAAAACAATATGTTGAAATAAGTTATGTTAGCGGGTTCCACTAAACCTATAATCTTAAAGGTGCTTTAGCAAATCTACAGATCAAGCTAGGTTTTGAACGTAAAAACGTTCTCAGAACACTCTCCCCTCGCCTTGGGCATCTTTCCTGAGACGCTTCTGCCGGAACCAGAAAACCCAGGGCTGTCAACTCTCACACATCGAGCGTGAGAAACGCATTTAACCCAGGTCACATGCTGTCACGCCACACCTCCAATATCTCACAAAGAAGAATCAATCCCCACCCACCCCCCTCTGATGGTACGCTCACAGAGGCAAAAATGTCCATGCGCACCCCCTCGCTATCTCGTATTGAAAAGTTCAAAAGTTGGCAGCCCTGAAAACTGCATTTCAAGAGGAAGCTAGATAGCGCTAAACACCAGTTGCTGTTTTCTAGGTCCAAATGTCTTGTGTTGTCCGTGACTTCAAATTGTGTTTCTCCTTCTCTGATGTTATTGAGCAGAGAACCTCTGACACCAGTGGTGTTCTATTGCTAAATGCGTGTGTAATGAATGGAGGACCCAGGGAAGTGCGGTGGTTTGGTGAGACCGACAACGGGATGGTCCAATACTTTGGTCCAAAATGTGTTTCCGGTGGAGGTTTTTAGACAAATGGGAGAGAACCACTTCATTATTATTTTGTTTTAATCTCCACAATATATTTATTACTCTACAATGTTAAAAGGTTGTTAAGAGGCATGAAAAAAAGTTTTAAGCTAATTTGTTTTCCAAATTTGCCATTGTAGCTTTAAATGCAAAGAGTAACATACATTTATGTTTAACATAACTACATTTAACAATGTATGTTACTCCTTACATAGAAGCATCTAGGTTTGGTTGAACCAGTTCACTTAGGTAAGTAAATTCAACATTTCATTTTGTAGAGTGTACTTGTGCACAAGCTTATTGCAAATATTCACTGAACAAGTTTATAGAATTTTGCTCTTTTTTCATGAGAAACTTTGACGGATGAGTTTAAAGAATTATGCCCCCCCCCCCCTTTTTTTAATTTTTTATTTATTTTTGAAAGAAAAAAATTGTAAATGGGGTAACAAGGATAAGTTGAAAAATTTTAGTTTGCATTTGATTTGTTTCTTCTGGAAACATGAAAATGTGTAAAAGTGTATACCTCCATTTCAAACAATGTTGATTGTGAAGAATTGTTTGTTTGTTTGTAATTTTTTAAAATGTTTGAAATAAATTAACAAATAAATGGAGTAGATATGTACTTTAGTAGGTTTATGGCAGAGTCTCGCTGGTCACTGTAAACACAGCAGAAAACACAGCAGGGAAATCACTCCTACATGCATTTTCAGAAGCTTTTAAATCCCTCACTTGCTATGGACGACTCAGTTTTCTGCATGACTGACCAGGCCAGCTCTCTCTCTGCATCGCGAGTGAGAGACGAAGTATCTTTAGGGAAGCATGTGTGTCTGAGTGCCCCCACCCCGTCATCCCGATCTCCCCCCTTGTCTCTCCGCTAACGAACCTACTCCCATTGCTATATGACCTACTTAAAAATGACCGAGCGTGTGTGTGTGTGTGTGTGTGTGTGTGTGTGTGTGTGTGTGTGTGTGTGTGTGTGTGTGTGTGTGTGTGTGTGTGTGTGTGTGTGTGTGTGTGTGTGTGTGTGTGTGTGTGTGTGTGTGTGTGTGTGTTGGTGCATGTCAGCATTAACAAAGGCACATGGGAAGTGGCAAACATGCACTCCAGCTAAAA